TTCCCAGCATATGTCTTCATTCGAATAAAGATCTACTCTTAAAGACTATCTGGTTTCTTAGTGCTTGGAATATCAATGTTCCAAGAGTCCATTTCAATAATTCTGATAAAGTATATTTTCCAACTCTAGGGAGTTCTGTGCCGCCAGTGTCATCGGATGAGCTTATGGAACTCAGAATGCATTCCACCCTAGCCTCAATTTTGAAAGTGACAAAGCATGATTGCTATCGCCAACGGGAGCGGCCAACCGATGGTAAGGCCTCGAACGACACAACGTGACTACAAAGAAACAAATCCTTTAGACTACTATTCATTGTGCAAGAATCGACTAATCGACAACAGCTATGATTCTGGATCATGCTCAAGAAGGACTGAAATTGTGAAGAAGTGGGCTGCGATTGATGTACAAATATCAGAAAAGTTGGAATCCCCGGCGAAGTGTCTTGCGGGTCTCAGAATAAGCTTGTTTGAAATATAAGAATATGCTTAATGTTGTGTATAAGTAGTAATGTAATATGTATGTATTGTACTATGTATGTATGTACTCTGGTCCCTGCAGCAGTTCTGCAAAACAACTGCTATCTCTGATACACATTTTAATGGTTTAAATATTACATTACATTACGCATACAGACACTCTCTGTTTACTCGACGTTAACTAAACCACAATGCCTTTGGAAAGGATGTATGTAGAATTGCATCGAAACCTGAGCTTAGGAAAAACAAAAATCACCTCTCTGTAGTTTCTCCCTCGATGTGGAACACGAATACAAACAGAATGAAGAATTACAGAGGATGTTGTTCCGGAAAATTACACTCAAATCAGCCACTATTTAGCGACTTCATCGTGTCAGCGTGTTAATACTTCCTAGACAATCACCAGAACGATGGCTCGGGCTTTTGCTATCTGACATTAATCACCTTAGAAATTCGTGAAATCACGCAGTAGTTAAGAATGATCAATAAAACTTGTGCAGATTCTCTATATCGTCACTGTAACATGGGTCGTGCCAAAATGTCGACAACTAGTGACTTCTTGCACTAAGAAATTGGGGAACTATCAAAAAACTTACTATCTAGCACTATTCAACCTAGAGGGAGCGTAGGACTGCCCAATTCCAAATGGCAGTCCTCTGGGTAGCGCTTCGAGAACGAACACCGAACTTTCTCCAGGTCGTCATATACGACACGTCTCACAATAACATAGTTATGCTCATTCCACACTGCTCCTAAAAGAGCTTATGCAAAAACCGTTCAGGGCTGGACTGATTGGAGACGACATCGAGGTGCGCTTGAGGTTTGTGCGCAGTTGGAGAATCAGATGCTACAGTCAAAGTGTTTTCCTAATCTTGTCATTATCTGACTTCGCCTTGATGAAATGACTTGAATGTGCCAACTTTCAGCGGAAATAGAAAAAAGCGATAAGAGGACAAAGCAAAATTCAAATATTGTTGGACTTCAGTTCCGGTCTGCACTTTCATATCTTGATAAAATTATCTCCAAAAGTTTTTGCAAAACACCACCCGGAGGTCGTTGCCTTCATTTTGACACATCATATATAAATTTCAGACTTAACCCAATGGGTGTCATGTACCATCTTCTCTTTTGCTACGATCTCCTCTTATTTATGTAAAATCTATGGGCGTCTCTGCTGCAAATCTTAGTCTTTGCACGATTGCCAAGGCTCACAGCATCAAAGCTATTATGATTTCAGATGAAGGTGCTGGTAACGATTAGCCTGTTGGCTTCGGTGGCAATTTCGGTTCTTTCTCTGTAAGTACGCACATGAAACAAGTTTACAAACAACTTTTCAAAGACTTTCCTCACCTCAATAGGCGTTTTCAGGGGCCGCAATTCGCCGAAAGGAAAACTGTACGCACTACTGGTGGCTGGTTCTAAGGGATGGTACAATTATCGTCATCAGGTCCAAGTCTATCCAGTTATTAATAATCTAACAATTTCTGTTTTACCTCGAGCCATTGCAGACTGGTGAATGTGGAACTTTTCAGCACGGTTCCTTTGAAAACATTCGAAACACAGAGAGAGAGGGAGAGAGAAAGAGAGAACCGATATAAACGTAAAATCCTCAGGATCTCAGTTGTGTTTCAAAAGCAATGGAATTCAGTTTGGAATACTGGATGGCAGAGTACATACATATGTCCACAAGACATATAGTTGGGCTAAAGACTATGTACCTCTGGCCAGTGGGATCAGTTGTAACACATACAGAGTTTTCCAAAATTATGGAGTTCAGTTTTCAGAAACTTCTGGAACAGAAACAACTCACCGTTTTTAATATAATTCTACTATAATAAGCGTAGTCACTAAAGTGAGACGTCCAATATCATTCAGACGGTGAAGCTCATTCAATGCCACTTGCAATCACAAGCATGCAAGAGTCGGAAGGCATGGTCAAATTTTTTGTGATTCCATTAATGGCTTTACAGAAGCAATTGAACGGTACAGAGAAGCAGATTTAAAAAATACCCTATCCTAACATGAGAGTCTATTTGGTACGTAGCTACCAATCACATGATCGCGCGCTCGAATCCTGCTAGCAGGTCGTTTATATTTTTCTTAATTACCATAACTTCAGGCCAATGTTGCCCACGCGTACCACGTCCTGCTAGAACACGGAGTTCCGGCAAAGAACATCATCGTAATGATGTACGACGACATTGCCAACCACAAACTGTAAGTATCAATGGCGAGAATTCTTTCATACAAAAAAAAGAGAGGTATAGTACTATGAGGACAGAAAAATGCCAATTCAAATACATATGGCTAGNCTGATTTTCATATTCGAGGGTTCCAGTTGGTGGCTGACTGAATGGCAGAAAGAGAAAACTTTAACAAAATCTCTTATTTTTTTATTTCCAGGAACCCATATAAAGGGAAGCTCTTCAACAAACCCAATGGTCCCAACGTTTACGGTGGATTAAAAATCGATTACAAAGTAGGTGAATAAGCAGGTGGCTGAGCTATAGCCAAAACTTTCGCCACAAACATCGTATATTTTTTAAATAGGGTGATGCTGTTAGTGCAGAAAACTTTCTAGCCATCCTTAAAGGTGATAGAGATGCTGTGAATGGCGGAAATGGCCGTGTGATTGAAAGGTAAGCCCAGTTTCACTTGCATTTCGTCGATCATCTGTATTGAACTATCAATCTTTTTATAGCAACGAGAATGACCGAATTTTCGTATACTACACTGATCTTGGAGCTACAGGTCTCATCGCTTTTCCGACTGGTATGGTGAGCTCTCATTCTTGCTTATGTGTATGTATCAAAATGCTGCTATCTCTGAGCTTCATTCGAACTTGTTTTTCGTGTGTATTTTCGAAGCTCTTGTTACTCCACTTTATTGGTTAGCTTTCGGCATATAATGCCTTCTTCAGACCTTAACTTTACAATACATAGTTGCAAACAATCAGTCAACAATCAGTTACTATGTAGAACACATCATATCGTATCAAACCAACCGGAAATAGTGGGGAAGAGGGGAGTGGACCTAATAGCGTATACCGTATCAAGCCGGAAATCAACGCAAAGGAGGAGATGCGTGACCTCCTGAGACTGATTGAATGATCATAATCCGTCGTATCAAGAGAAGAGCGGTGTTCCATTTCTCTTTCAAGTTCCCCGCTAATAGGTCCACTCCCCTCTTCCCCACTATTTCCGGTTGGTTTGATATGATATGATGTGTTCTACATAGTAACTGATTGTTGACTGATTGTTTGCAACTATGTATTGTAATGTTAAGGTCTGAAGAAGGCATTATATGCCGAAAGCTAACCAATAAAGTGGAGTAACAAGAGCTTCGAAAATACACATGAAGAAATGTGTATGTAGTTCAAAAACATTTACTATGTACATGACTGAATAGAGGAAACCGGAAAGTTGAAGGTGTGGCTTTTCGACTAAACGATAAAGCCTAACACTCTCGGTTTATGACTGCGTTTAATAATGTTGCCTAGCCCTGCTACATTTTAAGTGGACAGTGAAAAAACCAGGATATCAGGGTTCTAAGAGATAGGTATGAGGTTCGTAATGATTGAAATGGTACTTACATGATGTCGCGCTGGGGGTGCGGCGTGACTGTGTGATCGGGTTCTCACGCAGCGCTCGCTCTCGCCCTTGCCGCGCTGGATGTGGCTTTGGCTCTTGCAGCCCCTGCGCTGGTCCTACACCCCAACCATCGCCCTATGCGTGCTACGTTCTACAACACGGAACAGTCTACGCACAGCCCATACTACATCAATCGAACCAGATATAACCTTCCACGGCGTAAACCGTCTACGAAATAAAGTTTTCAAATTAATATTCAACAGTCCTCCATAGGTACGCCAATAAGAACCGAAAGGAAGAAATGGTAAGAAAAAGGCACGTCGTGTAAACATATATACATAAGAGAAAACACTAAATAGTTCAGTAAATAAAAGCTACAATGATGACCCGTAAACCTATGTATCAGGAGGCTCGAACCCAAAGCTCACGAGGGTGACGTGACTTGAGACCACTCGGCGCCTTCGAGCTTCCATGTCCGAGTCGATCACAACGCATTTGGTCGGAATGCATCATGTCCCCATCCTCGAGCGGGTTCGAGGGCAGAACAACGGGCAGTGGCAGCCGTACACGAGGACGACATGCTCACACAATGACGGATATACAGGCCAGAGTACGCGTCTACTATAGCTAACGCGCAGGCGCCGATACGTTGTTCGCGCCGGTACCTCCGAGCCACTCTCAGGATAATCAAGCTTGTTGGGTTGGAAGCCACAAAAATTTACTGTCATGGAAAAAGATGACATGATAAACTGTTTATGGTAGTTAGAACCCCAGACCCGGCACATCGTCGCATGTAGGAGGTAACCATCGATGGATCTCTATTATCTCCGATCATCGGATTATTAAGGTTCATGGCTGAAACATTATCAAAGAANGAGCCACTCTCAAGATAATTAAGCTTGTTGGGTTGGAAGCCACAAAAATTTACTGTCATGAAAAAAGATGACATGATAAACTGTTTATGGTAGTTAGAACCCCAGACCCCGCTCATCGTCGCATGTAGGAGGTAACCATCGATGGATCTCTATTATCTCCGATCATCGGATTATTAAGGTTCATGGCTGAAACATTATCAAAGAAACATGCGCGGTCCCTCTAATGGCTGTTTTCAGACTACGACGATGCAACCGACGAGTGCGCGTCTGACTGACGGCGGCGTCCAATGTTTCAATACATAGCCAGCAAAACCGTCGGTCAGACGCGTGCTAGCGCGCGCAATTGTCGGCTGTGTCGTTTAAGTCTGAGAGCAGCCCATAGGACATTGAAACTGAAGGACAGCTGATTTCAGGCTGCTGGTACGGCCACGTAGTAGGCACTGCTGCCAGCTTTTCTCCATGTAGTATTAGGCTTTGAGGTCATTCTTCTCCTCCCTCACCACTACCAAGTGGATTGAAGTTTTGTATTAGGTTGGTGCATAGTCTTTGTACTTTCTGGTTTCCACGTTGTGAAATCTTTGGGGGTTGTTCTATCACCTTCACTGCGGAATATGTGTAAGCGCAGGCTCTCCATCTCCATCGCTCGCTCTCCATACCATATCTGCCGCAGCATTTCGCAAAGATAAGGCTGCAAGAATCGCTCTCGACTCAAAGCAAGCTAGACCGCTCCTATTTCATGGGTTCAGAAGAAGCGCTAGTGGCATGCGACAAGGAACATATGTGATGCGATGGGACCGTCCACTGTCTCCTATAACACGGCGAAAAATTGGTAGCTTCTGAAAATGGTCACTTTGACCTGACCGAAGAGCCACGATCAGGGACCTGTTGAGTTGAATGACGACCTCCTTCTAAAGCTTGTTGAAGAGGATTCCAGACGTAGTACCCGCGAGCTGGCACAGGAGCTTAATAGCCATCACAAGACAGTAGCTCTCCACTCGCATCGCCTCGGAAAGACATGGAGATACGGAGTACGGATACCTCATCAGCTGAGTGGATGAGTGGAAAAGGTACAAAGACTTATGTGCCAACCTAGTAATAGAGATGGGCTGTAATGCGCCCGGATAACAGAAGAACAATGTTGAGCGTTTGATAGACTATAATTATTACAGCTAATGGCAAGACAGCTGAATGAGGCCTTGGAAGAAATGCACGAAAATCGCAAGTACAGTCAACTTGTATTTTATATGGCAGCTTGTGAAAGTGGTTCAATGTTCAAAGATCTTTTAGGAAAGAAAATAAATGGTACGTTTACACGAGACAATGTCTTCAGTAACCAATTACTCAATTGTCAATTACCTAGTGTACTATGCATGTATATTGGATAATGTAGGGCGGAGGTGGCATAGTGGCAGGTGGCGCACTATCACACACCCACGATCGCATGGTTCAAATCCCGAATCCATACCCACCCAGGTCAACCAGAATTCCCTTCCTTCCGGATTCGGTTAATTGGAACCAGACTTGTCTGGGAGGATAAAGGCACTGGCTTGTCCATCGGCTGGCCACCACAGTTCATTGCATGGGTCACATACGCATTCAATAGTCACGGCGATTCTGAATGGAAGTCGATTGAGGGGACGCATCCATTGGCCAGGATTGATCGTCTCGATCCTAAAGGCTTTATCCTTCATCCTTCATGCATTATGTACACATTTCACTTTCTAGTATACGCTGTCACCTCGGCTGATGAAGATGAATTGGAGTTTGCCACATATTGCGAGGACGAATTAGAATTGCCGTGTCTTGGGGATGAGTTTTCGGTGAATTGGATGGAAGATTCAGACAAGGTAAGTTGCCCTCCTTAATTCTGAGAGTTTTAACAAGGCAATCGCCACATTATCGTCGTGTCCACCTGGCACTTATCGCAACACAACTTTGTATTTTCGATTTGCTTGATGTCATGGTTTTTAAAAGGATGATGGGCCCAAACCAATACCATTGATGGGCTAGAACTATTTTGTCGCGTGTTCAGTAAGATCAGTGTACTTCAGATCCGCCTTTTCTTTAAAAAGAGAGTTCGCTATGACTTCGAATGGAAGTGTTATTTCTGAGCTTCTTTTCTTTAATTGACGCAATATTCAGTACTTGCACTTTCACCTTTCTACCTCCCACTCATGGATGACGTAGTGATTACTACTCAAAGAGCAAAAGATAGCCCTAGACTGGATTCAGTCCCACCTTACTCGGTTATTTGGTTTCGCACTGACAAATAGCTATAAACTTTGTTTAAATGTAATGCAGAGTGATCAACGTCCTGTAGACAGGTCAACGATTCCAAATATTGATGGTATTCAAGACATTACCCTAATCAACGAGCATGACATCGAGTACAACATCGATTCTTCAGCAGGACATCGGTCTCGAGACGTTGGACGAGCAATTCGAAGTCGCGAAAGGCCTCACCTTCCAGTCTAAAGTGTCTCGCTACGGTAATCTGAGCATAGCCGATGAACCTGTAGGCTGGTTCCATGGCTTACACAAAGACACTTTGAACAAAGGCAAAAACCTAACCCAGGTGAGTAGGGTGTACCTTTAACCAATTAAATCTTAATTAGCCAACTAACCGACTGACTAGATAACTGTGTAATCTTAACCAACTTACTTTTTCTAAGGGTGTTAGCATGCTGAACATGCACCATTAGCAGCTACAGCGTGAACGAATGGCTAGAGAAGCTCTCAACTTACAATTAGTGAACCATTGTCGCTTATGTACAGCCTTGTTATTCGAAAATTGCTGTCGTCTGAACTTGGTAGTAACAAGTTTTCAGTCTCACCAACAAAGAATTTCATGGCCATCAAGAGACGTCGAACTTCTTTATCTCCAGAAGTTGAAACAACTTGGTCTTCGCCCAGACACAATCGATGATGAAATTTTTATTGCTGAGGAGGTAAGGACAGGTGTGCGCAGGGTTAGCATTACTTCGTGCGAAAACCCTTTGAAATAGTCTCTCTATACAATTGTTAATTCCAAAACAATGAAGCAACTAGTAAAGACAGCAGCTTAATTCAAAGAGCCCTCTAGACTGGGTATGCAGGTAGGAAATAATAACCGAGTGTAACGAGTGTAATCTTGGGTCATTGAGCACACGACCTTTACCCAAGTTGCGCTATTCTGTACAGAACAAAGCGTGCTGTCTTTGGCGATTCGTGAGCTCTATGTACCTTAGCTAGCCTTCATTAGGGATGGTTCGAGTGACTTGACATCTCTAACAGGCAAGCTAGCTTCTATTTTCCTGACTTCAGCAATAAACTGTGTTTTGAAAATTGGAGAGTGTTCCGTAAGTGAACCCAAAATGAAGCCAAGTTTTCGCATCCTTTAGGATCCAAGTCGGGAAGTTTTTAGACCAAACCTTCATGAACACCACTGTGAACGGTAGATAATGTCGGGTGTAGAAACTAAAAGTAAGTAGCAGTAAATAAGCACTTTGCAAGAGGCAGGTTTAAAGTTGTATACCATCAATGATAGAGCTTGTTCTCTGATGAATTTAGAATCATCGCCCAATCGGAGAGTTTTTCGCAGAATTGGTATATCGCATCGTCCATGGTCAGGATTTGAGGTTGTGCCTCACGTACCACCATTATTCAGTACAGCCTGCATAACATGAGTATTGAGTCCTATTGTTTTAGATGGAATGTACTCAAAAAGAGAGCCGGTGTTACAAATTATGACTGTCATGAAGAGGTCGTGCGAGCCTTCATTACGACTTGCAGTGATTTCAACAAGGTATATTGCTCAATCTGCATTCAGCAGTTCACTCGATTTCTCCAGAATTATTTCCTTCTTGAAAAATTTCTGATCTTGAATGGGGAAATTGAATTCACCTACCACTCCTTGACTGTACTAACTTTCCATTAAAATATTATTAGGTTTGAAACAGAGTGGAGGTAGTGCAATGGCAAGTGGCGCACTTCACAATTCCTTCACCCATGGTCACGTGTTCGAATTCCGGATCGTTATCCGCATAGGCCAATCGAGCCTTCCATCACTTGGGATCGGCTAATCGGCACCAGACTCATCTGGGAGGATAAGAGCGCAGTGACTTGTACATCTGCTGGCCACCGCAATATATTGTTTAAGTCACATGCGCATCAAATTTGCCATTTCGATTCTGAATGGAAGTCCAAGGCGTGGTCGCATCCCTAAGGCGGAATTGATTAACCCCCCAAGACTTTATCCTTTATCTGGATTTGTACATGCCTTTCTCGAGTGGTACTAGAGGTTTGTTTCTACTGAAAAACCTTTTGTTTCTACTGGAAATCTATGACGAATATTAACAGTACCACTGCCGAGTGATAGGGGTGGGGATAAGAACTCTGAAAATCACTGAACGCTCTTCGTCTATATCCGAAAGCATATTAAGCAGCTAC